TCTTTTGCTCTTGTAGTTTAGTGGCTGTTATAGAGGATTTATTCATCCTATAATCTAAACAGTGAACTAGAAACAGCTCATCTATTTAAGATTGTTTCACAAAGAAATGTTATGATAAAATTATAAAGGATAAAAATCCAATGTAAAATGTTAATGTCAATGGTCTTTACATGTTTCATACAATGCCGGTATACATCACTGCTATGTACATACCGTAATAGCCTAGTGAACAATAACATAATAGATGTAATCTGTCTAGGTGTCTCGTATAAAATAAATATGTAAATAAACATGTACCTAGGTTCGAAATTAAGGGCAACCATCAGCAGTTTTGCTGCCTGCAATGGTCAGTTTGCTGGTCGCTCTCAACGCCAGCAGCAAATATGTGCTGCCAACAAATTCCTAATAAACCACAAGTAACAGCACCAATGATTCTGCCTGGTTGAGTAAATTTATTTTAAGTTTTTTATTTTCCTGCATTTTTCTCTAGCAGCAAGTCGTTGCTGCCTGGTAAAAAAAAAGTCTCTAGTTCTCTACAAAGTTTCTAAAGTTACTAAAGAATTTCTAAACCCGACGTACATAACACAACCGAGATTAGCACCTGACGCAACGGGCGATGGCTCAGTCCAGCGGCAACACCTATATTTTCCTATATTTTTCTCTGGCAGCAAGTCGGGGGCAGCCTGGTAAAAATATACATTTCTAATCCTGACGTACGTAATGCAACCGAAGTTAGTGCGCGACGCGATGCGACGTGCGGCGGCACGCGTTTGACAGGCGGTAACGCCTCTGCATCTTCCAGACCTGCACCTGGACTTCACGCTGACAGACGAGTTCCGCAAGTATCACTTCCTCGCCGGGGTGCTGCTGCTGGAGGTGCGGTCGGCGCTGCGGGAGTACCGCGACGTACGCCGCGTCGCCATCGCCATGCTGCGCAACCAGCTCGCCAAGCACGCATTCGACGACCGCTTCTCGTCCCGGGTACGTACGTACGAGGTCGCCGCCTCCCACTAGAGGTCGACGCCTTCCCGTAGAGGTCGCCGCCTCCCTGTAGAGGTCGTTGCCTCCCACTAGAGGT